AATCCTTTTGTTATCACTAAATGTTAGATTCTTATTTTTTTATTGGACAATATTAAGACTTCTGTCTCCGATTGTTATGCAGGTATGTGTATAAAATCATGTGAACAACATTATCGTGGAAACTCCCATATTCATTCTCATAATGTCTTACAGCTACGTGTATTTCGCAAATGACATATAATCCTAAACAACATATGGACATAATATTGCAGAACTGAGCGAAAAGAAAGGTGGAACAAATCAGATTAAGATATTTTATTTTTGAAATGCACAAAGGGCAACAGTTGAAGAACAAAAGTTAAAGGCGTTGTGAAATAGATCGTGCTTTTATATGATCCCCTTCTATAGTACCCTACCCTTTGCATTTGTTCGACTTCTTTTCTTAAATGAGAGTTTTGTCTTCTCGTAGTTTATAATTAGACTCTGCACGCAGCGTAATAGTGCCCCTATTATCCATGTTCATGTTCTCATTCGATTTTTCATCAGTTATGACTTGGTAACATTTGCTCTGATTTTCATTACGGCGCCCGGCCGATTGGGTATTTTGTTCAGAATTGAATACAATTTTGAACAAAATACTCATCGGCCGGGCGCCGGTGCTGAAAATCTGAGCAAATGTGACCAAGGCATTATAAAAGCATACTCTTTAATACACGAACAGATTCAAAATGAGACTTTATCTATCAGAGAAATAAAAATGGAAAATTTGTATTCTGAAAATATTAACTGATGCATTGGTTAGTATTAAATATTAAGTTTTACAGTCGGAAACCTCAAGGGGCGGGAAATTTGATTAAACAAAACGCCGGATTAATATGTGGACAACTTGCCAATGAAATGTAAGTAACATGACAGAACGAGTATGTACGCCCAATAAATACTTTTATAGTTTTAATGTGCATTCAAAGGACCCCGTTTGTAAAATTGATAGAAATGATTAGTTTTATTATCGGAAAAAAACTGAGAAATATCTACCCGATTCGCCAGAATTGTCATCATCATATCATTGCGAAAAATTAGCTATATTTATTTTCTATGCGATATACACCTTATATTGATAGCCGTCCACGATCATGGTCCGTTGACATCATCAACCTTGTGATTTGCCATAAGTGATTAACCAACATTTTTTGATTAAAAGTCGGGTTTAACGTTTCTTGACTTTTCACACTGACATCAAAACAAAACATAATTTGAAAATTAAAGGCATAAAATGGCCATTAAAAGTACATTTTTGAACAAAAGTATCAACTTATATTACACTGCACGCAAATACAAAGTGAAAAGAACGTCTTTCCGGAGATTGAAATACGGATCGGTAAGTCAACAAATCTAACTGTTAAATAAACAAGCTTAGCCTATGTCTGCGATTGTTTGTCTGAGTGGCCAGATGTTATCCGTTTCGGATAATAAATTTCTGAGAATACTACTGATATCTAGAATACATCTTCCGTGATATTTTTCATAAAACTACCCTTTGCATTCGTTTGACTTCACTTCTTAAAAGAGAGCTTCGTCTTAGTGTAGTTTAACTAGACTCTGCACGCAGGGTATCATAAAACAGGCATCTTAGCTGCAATTTTGAATAATAGCGTAATTCATAGCACAATATAAATTAACCCGCCTCTGTTTAATTCAAATATGCATTACCCTTAAGATTTATATACTTAGACACCTTTTCATTCTTGATTCGAATTATTATCTTGTCTTCATCTAAATTTGTGGATTAATAACAGTTTTTAGTATACAAATTGAACATACAAAATGTAGCGTATTGATTACACGTTACAGTGGCGTAGCCAGCTTTCAGTCGGGGGAGGGGGGGGGGGGTGCGATCGTGGCATAAAAAATGTTTTTGAAGATTTGTTTTGAATTTTACAAAAATTGGTGCAACTTCGTTCAAAATCGAGCTAGAAGTTTCAAATAAAAAGCATTTTAAGACTTTTTTCTTCTATCTAATGGTTCTATTTTCATTGGTTATGGAGGGGGGGGGGTGCGATCGCACACATCACATCCCCCTGGCTACGCCTATGCGCTATATTAATATAACAAGGTTATCATATCATGCCAATAGTTAGATGGTTAACTAATATTAACACAAAATAATAATACACGATAATTAAAAAAATAAACCTCGGTATTCGGGCCTAAAATCCAAGGATACGTGTACCATTACTTAAGTGTAAGCTGCAATACCATATCGAATACCTGTACCATTACTCAATAATAACCACTAGTAAGACCATAATAACAAGCTTAATAATTAGCTTATCGCAAGTTATTCCATACGATTTTGTCTTGTGTGACTACGTTAGGCTTACCGATTCCCATGGAACAATTGAACCATTATCATGTGGTTTCGGGGCACAGTATAATATAAAGTCTCGAGATAATTGGATGCTCGTGGAGTTTCACGCTGATGAATCGGAAGCAAGACGAGGGTTTTATGCAACATTTGAGGCTATTGACAAAATGAAAATTGATACAGGTTTAAAATAGCGGATTTATTACTTACTATACTTTACTATATTTATCTCCTCATAACAAAATGCAAAACACCTCAATCGTTTTTACCAATTTTGTTCTTTAAAGAAGATATATGGACTTAACTTCAATAGAGATTCCCATTCCATATAGACTTTAAGGTTTGAACATTTCTGTTTTAATTACAGTTTCGAGCACATCTATCACTGGATGTGGCCACCCAGTGTATTTAAATGGAAGTTCAGGTGATTTCGTCTCGCCAGGCTACAAGCCTAATTCGAATAGCTCATATCCACATTCAACTGCCTGTGAATGGGAAATACAAGTTAATGAAGGATTGGTGAGTACAATAAATGATATACCAAATATGTCCATAGTCATATTTACGACATTGGTCTTATTTTACGACATGATATCGTATACTACTGTATCACTTATTTCATTGAATCATGATCTAGTCAAATCGACGGAGATGGTACAAATACGATCCATAGTTTGCATAAAGGAAACGATATTCGTTTCAGCTCAAAACTGCCACGTGTCCGCCATTTCGCCTCTCCATAATGTCTAATATAATTTAATATGACGTCATACCAATAGGAAAAAACATGTCACCAGTATCCCTAAACAAAATTCTTAAATTCTGGTCGTAAAGGGGCAATTTGAAGCTATTTTCACCCGTTTTTTTAAGGTGAAAATATACGAGAAAACCTTATTGTACCCATACCTGTGAAATATCGCCCATTCTTGACTCGCTTGACTCTTCGACTCGATAAAGTAGTATAGAATTATAAAAAGCTCATCAAGAATGGTCATCTGGACGATCTTGCACAGTTACTCATACAATAACCTCTATATCTCTACAAAGTCTTAAATCTTGGTTTGTCTGAGCTAAATTTGAAACGTGAAATTCTATATGATTTTATATTCATACGATAATAGAAAAATGACTGCTAGAAGGGTAGCACAAATTGTAGCCATTGGTAAACATACACATTGATGTCAAACTGTATGTTTTTGTTACCGAATACACTGTGGAAACAACACTTCCTTCAATTTTATTCTTCATGTTTTCATAACAGGGAATCGAATTAAAGTTTCGTGTGTTTGAATTGGAAGATGGGGATGAATGTGAAAACGACTATGTGAGGCTAAGTAATACTGATAGCGAACCGCTTACATTTTGTGGTAAACTTGATTCGTTTAGCAGAACATCCAAAGACAATTGGTGGAAAATTGAATTCAAGAGTAATTCCGATGTTTCTAAGAGAGGGTTCCATGTAAAATATTTCGCAAGTATGTACTATTATATAATTGTATTATACGCTCTCATTTCTATGTATAAGCTTCTACCCACTTTTTTGTTTGAAAATTATTCCAACATCCTATGCCGTACGTTTTATACTTATTCTATAGTGTGATAGCACAGGCTACATCACTTTACTATACCTTGCAATAGGTGTCCATGAGCAACCAATATGGCTTATTAGTAATGGTTATGTTATTTGTTTTATGTGTCTGTTCCTTATGAATGGTTTATCGAATGACTGTTACATGTAGATGTTAATAAGGTACTTTCAAAAAAATATTAAACAATTCAATTAGACAAACAGAGTATCTTACAGTATGTATTTCTAGGGATTAGGTATAGTAGAATGTACGCATGCCATGTGAAAAAGTATGCATAGTATTTATAAGGCATCTGTATGTATGACAAGGTGTGACAGTATATAATGTACTAGTATAGCAGTTACCAGTTGTACAAAGCAGGCTTATTCGGGTCAGATAACATGTCGGATTGAAGATAATAAAAAAATAGTTTTAAATAAACTTGAATTTTTCATTTTAGTGAAACAATTGATTTATATACAATTGAAAATATGTCCAGTAATACATACACAAGAGAAAATGGGGAAATAAACGAATATTGTAACAGACGTTACAGGTAAAAAAAAAAACACATCTACGGCTACACCAGCCATTAATACCATCAGAGTAAACCTTTTTTCATACGCCTCCCCCGCCAAGTTCCATTATATTGATATTAGACCATAACATCAAGAGACTTAGCATGAAAAAAAGTCAATTTAGTTTTCTATATGAAATATATTTTTGTTCGAGCATTTACTGAATAAAAATCCGAAAATGTGATTTACCCCGAACCCACCATTCCCAATCGATGTACACGGAAATGACAATTTTCAAAAATTCATCAAAATTTTCATCAATTTCCGACCTATTGAAATTGAATAAAAAAATGGGAGAGGCGTTGTGAATGAAGTTAAGTTACATTTTCACTTTTGTCATAAGTATTTTATCGCTGGTTATGTGAATCAAAATTCAAACAAAAAGACAAAAAGAGGCTTTTCAAGTAGTCTAATGAGGGAGTTGGGGTAACTAAATTTATTTATGTAGTGTATCATTGAATTGTTGCGCCCACGCACGATATATGAACAAATTGGCATACCCAATAGTTCTCATGTCGTATAAGTCTGATTTAATTCAAGCATCGGAGAATTACCCCAACTATAAATTAGTTTAATTTGATGAAAACGAAAAATATCGAAATCGACAATTACCTTCCGCCATCTTAGATGGGAAGATTGCGGCCGTTGCCTTTGCTTGATATTGACCAGTGAGGTTTATCCTTATTCTTTGCAGAGTGTACCCACCCAATGTATTTAGATGGTAGTCAGGGTCATCTATACACACCCGGGTATCTCGAAGACATTAATTGTAACAGGTACCCTCCTGATGAAAATTGTACATGGGACATTTATGTTGGGAACGGACTGGTAAGTTTTGTCGCACCTGGTACTTTCCATGAGTACCTTGGATGCTCACTCAAAAAGACAGGGCATGGGCCAGGTGCCAGGTCCGGGTGTCGACATGGTTTGTCGACAAGGTAAGGTAGTTACAAGTTGTACACTGATCTAGAGAAACAATCATATACAGGGTAGTCCAAAATATGGGACACTAAATAAACATTGATTTTATTTGAAGAAAACGTGTTATAACTATATACCAGTGGGTTATTTCCCCGTTCAGTAAAACTAGGAAGGCATCTAATTGGCTACTGAGAAATTAATTATGTAAAACAGGCTGTAAATACCCATGTGTCTACCCGACTAAATACATGTACATGTACCAGCTCATAGGAGACTCACACATAAATAAAAAAGAAACCCCAGAAGCTCGACATTAAATGACCTTAAATGGTCTACTATCAAAGAATAGGGTCCAAAAGTTTTTTGGTAAATTTCAAAATAAGTCTTCGTACACTGATTTTTAATAAACCCTAGGTTTTGCATAGTAAAAATCACTAGCATTTACATCTAAATTGCTTAATGGTACACTGTTTTTCTGCATTGTTTTTCTGCATTATATTTTACAGCAGATTGAACTTACGTTCGATGAATTTGAAGTAGAACATGGTGAAATATGTGAATATGATTTTGTAAAGCTTGCTGATGGCTACGGAAATATTACGCTGTGTGGAAACCAAACATCCTACAGTTATAGATCAACGGGATCGTGGCTTCGTGTTAACTTTGTTACGGATGGGGGTCTCGAGATGAAGGGATTCTTTGCATCATATAGAGCAGTCCCGGGGGCAGTACATAACGGTACACGTATGTATTCCAAAATGTACTTCTAAAGATTTGGAATGCATGAAAATTACACAATCGACACCGTTCAGATAACCGTGGGTATACGAGCTTGTAGATAAAATAAAACCCTGGCGACAGGGTTATTCACATGGCAATATATTTGAAGATTTAAGTCTATTTTTATCAATTCTGGAAATGTACCAATAGATTGATTGAATTAATAAGAGCTAAATCGCATTTTGTTTGAGGACCTGGACTTCCTAGAGTGTCTTTGTAATGTTGTAAGGCCAAGACATATGATTAATATTTGTTAAACAGTTTAAGTCATCGACATGGTCTACCATACGTACCACATGTATTTTTTCTTTTCAGAAAAACCGAAACATTTATCAGGTAGGTCATTAATTTGCTTGTTTTTGGTCATCAGGGGCATTTGATGTCAGATTAATTCCATTGTCTTCACCTGTATCCTATTATTTACATGATTATATATTTAAAATGGCCGCCTTTCAAAATGTGTGAATTTATTGTCCAGTTACCCATGTTCTCGTATTTGAATAAATGATTTGAAATAGATAATCGCCATGGGTAATTCTAACGAGTATTTCAATTACATGGTCTTATAATAATTCGAATCGAAAGTATGCAAAGTAGACATTTGATATGAGATTAGAATATTAGATTTACGAAACTCGTTAGATTTGAAAACTACCCGTTCTAACTTACACATATTATTAGATAAAGGTATTAGCACCTGTTTTTTTATTTCCAGGTTTCGCAACTGGAAGAGTGATTCATAGCGTGAAAATGGAATACGCAGCCTTTTGTATTCCAGTTTTTCATTTTCTGATCAGACGGATGTATTTTGGCCGATAAATAAACTAGATATAGTAGCTGAGTTATGGACACGGGAATAGGAATGGAACGCATATACTCGCATAACCTTTTGTATTTCGTTCATTCTTCATCTCATCAGACATTTATGGAGTGTCCAAGAAATCGACAGTTGACAAAGTTATGAACAACACTAAGTATACTGTAATATGTTCACATTTGCATGGTGAATAGTTATCCAGAATTTTGATCAATAATACATCATAGTAAAAATATACAGATGGAGACTGATAAAATATTATACATTTGAAATGACTTACACGAAATGTTTAACTTATTCACCGGTTATCTGTTAAGATTCATATCATTTGTATGTTGACCTTTGAAGATGAAATAAATTATAACTTAGTTATTCGGATATCTGTTTTCATATTATTCATCCGAAAATATCATTTCAAACACAAGAATAACACAGCATAGTAAAATGAAATACATTGGAGTGTTTTGCATGGTCTTTTATCACTTATTCATTCTAGATCTGTCAGAATGTCTGTAAAAACTATTCCTTGGATAAATGATAAAAAAGTATATTCGATATTTTACAAACAGTGACTGGCACATTTTCGGGAAAAGGTGTGAAAATCCCCTTGGGAATAACATTTTTGCACTATTTCACTCAATGACAGTCGCTTTTTGTACAATATCGAATATACTTTTTTATTATAAGTTATTCAAGGATTTTTTTTAATCTGAAAATTCGTTTATTGTACATCCATCAATTGGTGGAATCCTCATACATTGTTTAGTTTAGAATATTCAGTACACGTGATATAAGTATGAATTAACCTCATGACCTGTAGTTCAATAAGATACTTTTTTATTAGACTCCAGATGAAAATCTGGAGTCTATTGCTTTTGCCAGTTTTCTTTATTATTAGACTCCAGATGAAAATCTGGAGTCTATTGCTTTTGCCAGTTTTCTTTATTAGACTCCAGATGAAAATCTGGAGTCTATTGCTTTCGTCAGTTTTCTTTATTATTAGACTCCAGATGAAAATCTGGAGTCTATTGCTTTCGTCAGTTTTCTTTATTATTAGACTCCAGATTGAAAATCTGGAGTCTATTGTTTTTGCCTGTTTTCTTATTAGACTCCAGATGAAAATCTGGAGTCTATTGCTTTTGCCAGTTTTCTTCTTATTATTAGACTCCAGATGTCAATCTGGAGTCTATTGTTTTTGCCAGTATTCTTATTATTATTATTCCGACCCAGTTTTCTCGATAACCATAAGGTATCCAATAAAGATCATTTTCCAGTCAATTTAGGTCCAGTATCTGGTTCCTCGGAAATTGGGTCAAATTTTTATCTAGGTCAAAGGTCAAGAACTAGGTCAAATCCAGTACTTTGTCACTTTTTTCGATTTTCTCGGTCGTCATTCAATATTTTCGATCCGGGTTTTTTTCATTGTGTTCCTTATAAAAAAGTAGGAAACCTAGGGTCGATTTAGTTTTTTGATATCTCAAACCGATTTCGAGATATCAGTGTCCGAAAACGAGGTCCAAAAATCAAGTTCTCCGAATCAAATGTCCAGGATATTAGTCTTATAGGAAATTATCTTAGGATTCCGAATCTGAAAATAAAATTCGTATCAGACTTCCGGTTCGGAAGTTATGGCGTTTTGAAAACTCAAAAATCGCTAAATTTGGTGCCCATGTTAAGTCAATGGGAAAAAAGATTTTTTTGAAGTGAAAAATACAGAATATAGACTGAGTTCAGCTTCATATAATCAAAGCCTTTAAAGGAAAAGGACCTCAAAAGCCATCTAGCTTGAAAATTTGGACACCAAAATGCCTAGGTCAAAATCTAGGTCAAATTCATGGGTTTTCCTTATTTTTTCGATTCTGATACTACACTCTAATTATATTCTTCGAAATTATGTATACATGTAGCCAAGAATATGCTAATAGTGTTAGCCTTTTGCCGTCAGAAAGTATTATGACCCACTTTTGAGATATGGTGTCCGAAAAGTAGGTCAAAATAAAAAGTTCTCCAAATTTAATATATGAGTTATGAATTAAGGGGAGAATTTTGTCAGGAATCCGAAACTGCAAATCAAATTTCGATCCGACTTCCGGTTCGGAAGTTATGGCGTGTCCGAAAAGTAGGTCAAAATAAAAAATCTCCAAATTAAACGTATGAGTTATGCATTAGGGGTAGAATTTTGTCAGGAATCCGAATCTGCAAACCAAATTTCGATCCGACTACCGGTTCGGAAGTTATGGCGTTTGAAATTTCGAGAAAAATCGATCTGATGGTATCCTGATAGAAAGTCAAGAGTAGAGAAGAAAATATTGAAAAATTCATCTATCCTTCCTATCTGATCCTATCCTATCCTTCCTTCGTATCCTTTCCTTCCTATCCTCTCCTATCATATCCTTTCTTCCTATTCTGTTCTATCCTATCCTTCCTTCTTATTCTATCCTATTGTTCCTTCCCATTCTATCCTATCCTACCTTCCTATTTTATCCAGCCATCTTATTCTGGATGACTCAGCTTATTCTGGATGACTCGGCTTATTTTAGATGACTGGGCTTAAAAAAGTCTAGATCTGGAGTCTGAAATTGAACTTCGTTCAATTTCCAAAGTCTAGTTATTATTATTATTCTTTCTTTCCGAACACTTTTTCTCAGCAACTAGAAGGACTTACTTAAATCTGCTAACATAGTCAACTAGGTAATGAAACCTAGTTTCTGGGAAATTAGGTCAAATGTTTATCTAGGTCAAAGGTCAAGAACTAGGTCAAATCGTGGGTTTTCACTATTTTACAAGTTTTCTCAGTCGTCCTTCGGTATTTTTGCTCCGGGTTTTTTTCATCTTGTTCCTCAGAAAAAAAGCTAATTCCGCAAGGCAAATCGTTTTTTGATTACTCTTACCGATTTTGAGAAATGACGTCCGAAAAGTAGGTCAGAACATAAAAAGTTCTCAAAATTCAACGTGTAAATAATCAAATAAGTGTAGAATTATCTCAGGAATCCAAATCTGCAAACAAAATTTCCGGTTCGGAAGTTATAACATTTTGAAATCTCAAAATCGCTAAATTTGGTGCCCCATGTTAAGTCAATGGGGAAAAAGACTTCTTCTAAGTGTAAAATACGAGATATAGACTGAGGGCAGCTTAACATAATGAAAGCCTATAAAAGAAGGGGACTTCGAAGGCTATCTAGCTTTAAAATTTGGACAGCAAAATGCCTAGGTCAAAATCTAAGTCAAATTTATAGTTTTTTCTTATTTTTGCGATTCTGACACTACACTTTAATAATTTGCTTAAAAATTTTGTATACAGGTAGCAAAGAGTGTGCTTATAGTGTTAGCCTTTTGCCGTCAGAGAGTATTTTGACCCACTTTTGAGATATGGTGTCCGAAAAGTAGGTCAAAATAAAAAATTCTCCAAATTTAACATATGAGTTATGAATTAAGAGTAGAATTTTCTCAGGAATCTGAATCTGCAAACCAAATTTCGATCCGACTTCCGGTTCCAAAGTTATGGCGTGTCCGAAAAGTAGGTCAAAATAAAAAATCGCCAAATTTAACGTATGAGTTATGAATTAGGGGTAGAATTTTGTCAGGAATCCGAATCTTTAAATAAAATTTCGATCCGACTTCCGGTTCAGAAGTTATGGCGTTTTGAAATTTCGGAAAATCGATCTGATGGTATCCTGATAGAAAGTCAAGGAAAAAAGATTTTTTTGAAGTGTAAAATACGAGATATAGATTGAGTAAAGCTTAAGATAATGAATTCCTATAAAAGAAGGGGACCTCAAAAGCTACCTAGTTTCAATATTTGGACACCAAAATGCCTAGGTCAAAATCTAGGTCAAATTCATAGTTTTTCCTTATTTTTGCGATTCTGGCACTACACTTTTAGGATTTGCTTCAAAATTTTGTATACAGGTAGCAAAGAGTGT